CCACCTCCCTTCCCTCTAGTAACTACCATACTTTTGTCTATGTCTATGAATTTTTATTTATTTGTTGCTTTCAGTTTTACATCTCACATATGACTGAAATAATATAGTTCTTGACTTTTCCCTTCTGATTGATTTTGGTTAGCATGTTATTCTCAAGATTCATCCATATTTTTGGAAGTAACAGTATTTCATCTTTATTTATGGGCTGAGTACTATTTCATTGTGTATATGTACATTGTGTGTGTATATCTTCTTGATTCAAACACCTATCAAGAGACACTTCAGATGTTTCCATGTCTTGGCCACTGTGAATAATGCTAATCTCAGTTATTTTATAAGTACCGCGCGCTAACCGATTGCGCGACTGGAGCCCCCTAATCTCAGTTATTTTAAAAACTCTATAGGAGATATCAATATGAATCTAAGTATGAGAACCACTGCTATATAGAAACTGGATGGGACCGTTATTTTGCCAATTTTACAAATAAGTACGTTAAGGCCCAGCAATTTAAGTGGCTTATCTGAAAGTTCCACAAGGATTAAGGATAGATTTGTGACTAGCTTTAAAATCCCCATAATCTACTTTTTATTTCTTAAATATAAAATAAAGCGAAAACATAGGCCTAGAAATGGTATTAACATAACAATGTAAAAATTAAGCATAATATAGTGAGTGGTATGATGTGGACCAAGAAAGATGTTTATATGTAACTAGAGGTCTGATGCATGAAATTCGTGCACAGAGGAAGGGGGGTGGTCCCTCAGCCCAGTCTGCACCCTCTCCAACCTGGGACATCCCTCTCACAATCCAGGACTGCTGGCTCCCAACTGCTCGCCTGCCTGACTTCCTGATTGCCCCTAGCTGCATCTGCCTGCCAGCCTGATTAACCCCTAACCACTCCCCTACCAGCCTGATTGATGCCTAACTGCTCCCCTGCCAGCCTGTTTGCCCATAACTGCCCTCCCCTGCAGACCTGGTCCCTCCCAACTGCTCTCCACTTAGGCCTGGGTCCCCCCCCAACTGCCATTTCCTGCAAGCACAATTGTCCCCAACTCCCCTCCTCTGCCAGCCTGGTCACCCCTCATTGCCCTCTCCTGCAGACTTGATCGCCCCCAAGTGCCCTCTCTTGCAGGTCTGGTCCCTCCCAACTGCTCTCCCCTGCTGGCCTGATTGCTCACACCTGCCCTCCTTTGCAGGCCTGGTCCCTTCCAACTGCCTCTTCCCCTTGCTGGCCTGATTGCCTACACCTGCTCTCCCTTGCAGGCTTGGTCCCTCCCAATTACCCTCCCCTCCTGGCCATCTTGTGGCAGCCATCTTGTGTCCACATGGGGGCAGCCATCTTTAACCACATGAGGGCAGCCATCTTGTATATTTTATTATATAGGATGTTCCTATTTTGGAGACTTAGCACATATGTAATAAAACTAGAGGCCTGGTGAACAGAATCTGTGCACTGGTGGGGAGGGGTCCCTCAGCCTGGCCTGTACCCTCTAATAGTCTGGGACCCCTCCGGGGATGTCTGCCTGTGGGGAGTGGGCCTAAACTGGCAAGTGAGCATCCCTCTCACAGTTCAGGAGCCCTCACTCCTTACCACTCATCTGCTTGCTGCTCTCTAATGCTCAGCTCACTACTTCTAAGCACTGCTATAGAGGTTGGAGAGGCTCCTGCCACTGCCACTATGTGCCCTGCCCCACCCTCCCGAACCATCACGACTGCAGCCACCTCTGCTGCCTCCCGCCGCTGCTGCCTCCACCTCCACCTCCATGTGTGCCACTGCTATGCGCCTTGCCCTACCCCACCCTGTACGCTCTGCCAGTGCTGTCCTTCCAGCAGCTGCAGCTGCCTTGCTTTCCACTTTCCCTCCCTCATCCTTCTATGCTGTCTTCAGTCTTCACTCCTCCCTCTGAGTATGCAAATTAACCTCCATCTTTGTTGGCTTAATTTGCATACTCACTCTGATTGGCTGGTGGATATGATGGTTAATTTGCATATTATTCTATTATTAGGTAGGTCTAGAGGCCCTGTGCACATAATTTGTGCACGGGGCGGGGGGGGGGGGTTGTCCCTCAGCCCAGCCTGAACCCTCTTTTGAATTGGACATCCATCTCATAATCACTCCCTAACCACTCCCTTGACAGCCTGATTGATGCCTAACTGCTCCCCTGCCAGGCAGTTTGTCCCCAACTTCCCTCCTCTGCAGGCCTGGTCAACCCCAACTGCCCTCCCTTGCAGGGCGGCTGGCCCCTCCCAACTGCATTTCCCTGCTGGCCATCTTGTGTCCACATGGGGACAGGATCTTTGACCACATGGTGGCAGCCATTTTTTGTGTTGGAGTGATGGTCAATCTGCATATTACTCTTTTATTAGATAGGGATATGACTTTATTCAAATAAATGGAATCATAAGATAGTCCCCAAATCTTCTTTTATTTACTAAATTTAAATCTTTTTTTTTAATATTTTTATTGATTTTGTACAGAGAGAAAGGGAGAGAGATAGAGAGTTAGAAACATCGATGAGAGAGAGTCATCGATCAGCTGCCTCTTGCACACCCCCTACTGGGGATATGCCCACAACCAAGGTACATGCCCTTGACCGGAATCGAACCTGGGACCTTTCAGTCCCCAAGCCGACACTCTATCCATTGAGCCAAACCAGTTTCGGCTAAATTTAAATCTTTTTCCTACAATTACTTTACTAAAAAAGTTTCATACTGAAATAAGCAGGACTAATACATATTTCACCTCCCATTAATTTATCTGCAAATTCTTGGGTAGCAATGCTTAAAAGAGAAAAAAAGTAAGAAAATGTATCTGAAAAGATAACTAGTGAATTAGCAATAAGCTCAATTACAAAACATGTAAATAACTTAATCCTATCTAATAAAAGAGTGATATGCAAATTGACTGTCACTCCAACACATGAGATGGTTGCCCCCATGTGGTCAAAGATGGCTGCCCCCATGTGGACACAAGATGGCCACCACAAGATGGCTGGCAGGGGAGGGCACTTTTGGGCGATAAGGCCAGCAGGGGAGGGCAGCTGGGAGGGACCAGGCCTGCATGGGTGGACAGTTAGGGGCATCAGGCCTGCAATGAAGGGCAGTTAGGGGTGACCAGGCGGGCAAGGGAGGACAAGGCCTGCAGGGGAGGGAAGCTAGGGGTGACCAGACTGGCAGAGGAAAGCAGTTGGGGGTGAACCAGGCCTGTAGGGAAGGACAGTTAGAGGCAACCAGGCCTACAGAGGAGGGCAGTTGGGAGAACCAGGCCTGTAAGTGAGGGCAAATGAGGGGGACCAGGCATGCAGGGGAGGACAGTTGGGATGGACCGGGCCTGCACGGGAGGGTAGTTGAGGGGGGTCAGGGCTACAGAGGAGGGTAGTTGGGGGCGACCAGGCCAGCAGATGAGTGCAGTTGGGGGCCATCAGGCCTGGAGGGGAGGGCAGTTGGGGGGGGTGAACCAGGCCTGCAGGGGAGGGCAGTTAGGGGCAATCAGGCTGGCAGTGGAGCAGTCAGGAGTCAATCAGTCTGTCAGGAGAGTGGTTAGTGTGTGATTAGGCTGGCCGGCAGAAGCAGTTAGGATCAATCAGGCAGACAGGCAGGCGAGTGGTTGAGAGCCAGCAGTCCTGAATTGTGAGAGGGATGTATGACTGCCTGTTTAGGCCTGATCCCACCCAGATTAGGCCTAAATGGGCATTTGGACATCCCTTGTGGGGTCCCAGATTGGAGAGGATGCAGGCTGGGCTGAGGGACACCCTCCACCCTATGCATGGATTTCGTGCACTGGGCCTCTAGTAATAATACAATTGGTTATAATCTATAGTCCATATTACCACATAGTTTCTAGATAAAAACATCAAATATTATTAGTGTCACCAAATAAGGGTTTCACATTTCTTAAAATCCCTTTTCTTAAAATGAATGCAATATATTTCTAACAAAGACATAAGAATGGCTGAGGGGACATATGCTAAGTTTCCTCTTTTAATAATTTACCAAAATATTTCAATGTGTATATCTCATGTGCCATATAACATTAGAAACTTCAGTGAGAGACTGTGGTCCCTGGTAGACTATGCAATATTTCATAATTTACTCATTGACTTGTTAATATAAATTTGATGTCACAGTAGTATATTTGTGTTGACTTTGGAATTAATGAACACATTGTCACTTGAAGATATGTTCTTCTGTAGATAGTTTTCTTTTTTTTTTTTTTTTTTTTTTTTTTTTTTTTTTAAATATATTTTATTGATTTTACACAGAGAGGAATTGAGAGGGACAGAGAGTTAGAAACGTCGATGAAAGAGAAACATCGACCAGCTGCCTCTTGCACACCCCCAACTGGGGATGTGCCCGCAACCAAGGTACATGCCCTTGACCGGAATCGAACCCGGGACCTTTCAGTCCGCAGGCCGACGCTCTATCCACTGAGCCAAACCGGTCCCGGCTGTAGATAGTTTTCTATTCTTCTTAGGAAACTGCCACAGGAGCGATCTAATTTTGCAATATCCAGACTTAATGACACATATGTTTTAACTCCAAATTTGGATAGAAACATCACTAGAATATAAAATAAACTGCCAAGAAATTTTCTTTTAAAAATTCTAAATTTTAAAAAAGTTCATATTTCTCATTCAATATGAGAACAGAAATTATATCTGTTAAAATGTGTGGTTTTGAAATCTCGGCCTGAGATTTTAGTCAGTAACTTCTTAAGTATTATTTTTCCCTTCCCCAAAATTTATGTCGCACTAAAATTAAATTTCCTTATATTTGAGTTTATTATAACTAAATACAAAAACCCAGCTTTTTTTTTTTTTTTTTTTTTTTTTTTTTTTTTTTTTTTTTTGACAAAACAACAATCTTCAACCCATATGGAAGACTCATATTGGTTCATTTAGTAAGTACATACAGATCTCTCATGACCAAAAATACATATGGAAGAAAGAAATTAAATCCATTCAAAATAAGACAGGTGACCAAAAAAGTTATTGTTTTCTAACTTCTTTAATAACACACTCAGAATTTTATCACAAAAAGGATTTGCAATTCTAATTAACATTTAAACACAATTATAAAGAACAAAAGACCATACACATTTATGGACAAACTACAGCATCTGTCTTTAGGTTTATGAGCTGCCCAATACATTTTAAATGTATAGCATATGAAATCACAGACCAATAGGGCTCCAAGGAAACCCCACAAATTAATAGCTTAACTATAATCAGATTCAACTTGATACAGAATAATTTTTAACTCATGTGTTGGTCATAGATACAAATAGATGTCAACCAAAGGGCCTTGCAAATGTGGAAGTATAATAGACAACCAGAATAAAATCAATGTCCTTAGTTACTGTTTTATAGTTTGAATATGAGCACTTAAAATGTTAATATGAGATACTATTTAAGCTCACATTACATGTATCCAAATTACAACTGAATACAGCTAAAATCTAGATATATTGTAGCCTCTGGCTTTAAAATAACAGACTGTGAACACATTTAGAAATTCAAATGATATGAAGTCACAATAGGAAGTGAAAAACGTTAAGACAATTTAATTCATGCACACTTATCGCTGACTAAATTAAAGAATGGGGCAACTAGACCATAACAATTATTGTGTGCTTTTGAAAATGATAGAAACTACCTTGGTTGTAAGAAATGCAGATTGACCATTTTAGAAGCATTTAATCTTCAAATTAGCAACTCAAAATTTCCCATTATAGGTGAATAAAAGTTGCAGGATGTTAAATGGCTATGAAGTTACTCTTCTGAAGTTAAAATGCCATATGCTGAGGCTTTAGAATAAATGTACACTTCACAAATAAGATATTGAACATAAATTATTAAAAGTCAAGATAATAGTCATATCAATGTAAAGTAAATTTTCTTGATACACATAAGTTTTTCTGATGACTGGTTCAGTAATGAAGTTAAACTGAAGTCTGTTAACTCCAAATACAATAGAAAATAAACATTAAACAACTTAACTTGGGAGCTTATGTAATATTCTTGCAGAAAAATAGTTATCAAAATTACCAACAAAATGATAGAATATAATTAAGGTATTTCCTTATTTAACAATCTGTAATAATTCCACTTGCCAATTTTAAGGAGCATTATCTGGTCTATAAATTTTATGCAAATAGACTTCTACTTTGTTGTTACCCAAATTACAGATATCCAAGATACTGATGACATGCACTCTATCCAGTTCAGTTACTGCTTTTATAATATCACCTAAAAATAAAAAGCAGATGGTAAGTATTATAAAATAATTAAATATTTACTTTTATTTAATATCACATAAGCTGATGTGTTTTTCTTATAATATTAACCCTGTACTTCATTTTCCTCTTCCCTCTAATTCATCACACACATTCATTAAAGGTATGATGTAATAACTTCCACAGATAACAGTCAATACATCCAACAGATACTGCTGATAATGTCAAGATATGAGTTGGTACTTTAAAGCCATATTTAGTTATTTTTAATTTTTATAGTGGAGCAATACAAATCTACATATTTTTAATACAACAAAAAGAAACTTGTACATAAAAAATGTTTAAAAAGATGACACCAATGCTATACTATAAGGCGCTGCATTACATTATTCTGTACTTATTTTTACCTTTCGGGTTGACCATTTTTACCTTTTAGGTTGACCTTTCACTTTGGAATTATGGAAGGAATTAAAAAGTTTTAAGTCAGACAGATCTGAGTTCAAGTCCTAGCTGTTACCTGTGCTAATAAATCTGATTTTCAGTCTAATCATCTTTAAATATAGGAAAATAATGTTCACATTACAAGGTTCAATTAGGATTAGTCATAACTTATTCAAATGTTCAGGCACAGTGCATGGCACAAAGCTAAATTGACATGATATTGTCAATAATTTTTTATCTTAATCCTCACCTGAGGATATGTTTTTATTGATTGAGAGAGAAAGGACGGAAGGAAGGAAGAGAGAGAGAGACATCAATTGGTTGCCACCCGAAGGCACCACAACTGGGGATTGAACCTGCAACCTAGGTATATGCTCTGACCAGGAATTGAACCCAAAACCTTTCAGTGTGTGGGATGATGTTCCAACCAACTGAGCCACCTAGCCATGACATATTATTAATAATCTTAAGTGATGAAAAACAAAATAAATCACCTCAGTTTAGATTACCCTATCACTTTTCTAGTGATTTTTGCCCTTCATCTCCCAAATATTAACCAGATATTTTCATATGACCATTTTAGTGACTATTGGAAAAATATTGGCACTAGAAACTAGCTGAGAATTTTGCCTTGATATTCTTCAATAATAACATATACATATAACAGAAAACATGTGACAGAAATGGATATTGTATGAAGTAAGAAAATAAGTATACAAATATTTAAAGTGCATACTAGGGCACTAATTAAGGAATCTGGAATTTTTGGAAGCTTAAGGAGATGCAATGTAGGAAGTAATACTGCAAGTCAACTAATAATCATCTCTAAAATAGACTGTGGGAAAATAAAACAGCCTCATCACATAAAATTAGCTATTCATGTTCAGTTTATAGTAAGTGTTAATACCAAAAGTTACTTAATCATCAGGCACAGCTCATAAGATTTGTTTAAAAACAACATACACTCAAAAGTTTCATCAGCATAGAAAGACCATAATAATAAAGGCTTGGCGCTCCTAGAAGATGGCGGCAAGGTAAACACTTGTACGTGCTGCCTCTCACAACCACATCAGAGCTGCAACTGGGGATCTTATCTGAGACTTTAAAAAAACCACAACTGTGGAGACCACTGAGCAGCTGTGGGGCCCTGGCCAGTGCGGACACGTGGATTCCAAAGAAAGGTTGGATTTTGCCGGGGATAACGTGGGGTGTCTGTGTCCAGGCTGCAGAGGCAGCAGCTGCAGATGCTGCGGGCCTCTGTGGTGGCAGAGACAAAAGCCCGTGCGCTGGGACTGTGGAAATCTCTGTCCACAAGAGTCCCCCGCTGTTGGGTCTGGCGTGATTCGAGAGAGTGGACGGGAGTTTCTAAGGTTGCTAATAGTGGGGTTCTCTAGGTAGCAACCCATTCTGATCAGACACAGAGGGAGAACATAGGAGTTGGAAAGGTATGCAGTCTGTTTGCAAGTGCGCGCAGACTGGCCCATCGCACACCTACACTGGCTCCCCTACAACCCTTTGCTTCTGATTACAAAGGAGAGACCACCCAGATTGGCTGGCCCTGAGATACGACAGTGGGAAACTGCTTTTCTGGAAGCTGAGAAGCAGAGCTGGGAGAAATCATCCGGGATTCAGCTCCAAGACAAAAACTGTATTGAGTTCCATAGAAAAAGAAGGCTAGATCAGCCAAAAAGACAGAGACATCAATCCAGAAACACTGCCACCTAGGGGCTGGAGTACAAACTTACTGTGTTTATTAGTTTTATTTAATCAAAAACCAAGAAACTAAGAAATCGCCATCTTAAAATTAAGGACTAGTTTACAACACTGAGGTGCAGCAGAATGCAAGGAACTGCAATACTGTCTAAAGAAATAGGCGTGCCAAATAGAATAGAAGAAGTGAATGTGAATGGCCTTCACAAATGCACACTTTTTTTTTTTTGCTAATTTTTTATTTTATTTTCATTTTTGCATCTTTTACTTGAGAAACAAATTTTTTCCTTTTTTCCTCTCTTGATTTTAACTTTTTAATTATTACATTTTTAGGTTCAATCAGCATTATTACTACTGCTATTTTAACTTTTTTTTAAGTGCCATTTTATTTTGTCTTTATTTTACATTAGAATTACTGTTCTTCATTCTATCTTCATTTCTCCTTTAGCGTTGTTTATCCAATCTCAACATGATCTTTACACCATCACTCTCCACTCTCTTCCTAACTTCCCCCCTTTTGCTACCTGTTTATCTTAACCCTTTTCTGCTTTAGATTTTCCCTACTCTTTCTGTCTCCCCCCTGCTAAAATTTCTACCCTACTTATATATCTAATTTCCAATCCCCTGTGCCAAGTGCATACACACCCCTCTCTGAGATGTATTAACTAGCAAATATATATACATATATATATTTTCCCCGTTCTGTCCTTTTGATGCTGTTTGTGTGAATGTTGATTATATTGTATTTTTATGCTTTTTAGTGAGAGTGTTTTGCTTATTCTTTTGTTGTTGCGGTTGCTTGGTATTTTTTTATTTGCTTTTTTTTCCTTCTGTTTTCCCTTCCTTGGCTGGATATTAGTGGGTGAGTAGACTGTATTATTCTCCAGGTACAGTTGCAAGCATTTGCTGGGGTTAGTGGTTATTCTATTGAAATTCTGTCCCCATATATATAGTTTGTTCCCCTTTTGTCCCTCAGTCATTTTCTTCTCTCTCTCTCTCTCTCTTTTCTTCTCCCTGTTTCCCAATTTCATTTTGACATTCCTTTATATATATATATATATATATATATATATATATATATATATATATTTCCCCCCCCCCCTTTTTCTTTTGCTCCCTCCCTCTTCTCCTTTTACTCTTCTTCTTTCTCTCCTATCCCCTAATTTGCCTTTCCCTAGTGGTCACCTTTATTGGAGGTTATTAATATCACAAATACATTTCTGTATAGTGCCTTGTGTGTTATACCTGGTTGCTTTGTATTTTGGGACTTTAAACCAACGCAGGAGAGAGAGATCTACATAACCAGATATCCTGAAAATAGAGACCATGGGTAGACAAAGAAACAGCTCACAAATGAAAGAAAAGCAGACATCACCAGAAAAGGAAGTAAACGAGTAGGAGGCAAGCAATGTACCAGAGCAAGAATTCAGAGTAATGATCATAAGATGGCTAAAAAGAATGGAAGACAAACTTGACAAAATGAGTAAGAACCAAGAGGAAATGAAGAAGAACCAAGAGGAAATGAAGATGAACCAAAAAGAAATGAAAAATGATATCACTACTATGAAGAACTCAATAGAAAGCACCAAGAGCAGACTAGAAGCAGCAGAGGACCACATCAGTGTGCTAGAAGACAAGATGAAAAAAAATACCCAATTAGAGCAGCTTCTAGAAAAAAAAATTAAAAAGCAGGAGAGCCTATGGGAGCTTTGTGAGAATACAAAACAAAACAATATTAGAATAATAGGGGTTCCAGAAGGAAAGGAAAATGAGGAAGACATGGAAAACATATTTCAAGAAATAATGACAGAAAAATTTCCTGAGATAGAGTAGAAAAAACCCACACAAATCCAAGATGCTCGCAGTCACAAGCAAACTGAATCCTAAAAAACTGACGCCAAGGCACATATAATTAAATTGGCAAACACCAACGACAAAGTAAGAATCTTAAAAGCAGCCAGAGAGAGGCAGAAAGTCACATATAAAGGAACCCCCATCAGACTAGCAACTGATTTCTCAACAGAAACTCATCAGGCCAGAAGGGAGTGGGATGAAATACACAAAGTTATGCAAAGGAAGGGTCTGAATCCCAGAATACTGTACCCAGCAAGGCTATCAATCAAAATTGAAGGTGAAATCAGGAGCTTCACAGACAAAAAAGACTAAAGGAATTTATCACCACCAAACCAGCAGTGCAAGAAATGCTAAAGGGTCTAATGTAAAAATAAAGAAATATTGATAGGAAGCGAAGAAGGAACACAGGGGTATAGAATAAAAATGGTGTCAAATAAGTACCTATCAATAACTGCAAATGTAAATGGATTAAATGCTCCAATCAAAAGACATAGGGTAACAGATTGGATAAGAAAACAAGACCCATATATCTGTTGTCTACAAGAAACGCACTTCAGAAAAAAAGATGCACACAGACTGAGGGTGAAGGGATAGAAAAAGGTTTTCCAGGCGAACGGAAATGAAAAAAAAAAAAAAAAAAAAAAGCTGGGGTAGCAATACTTATATCTGACAAATTAGATCTCAAAGTGAAGGACATAACAAGAGATAATGAAGGCCACTTCATAATACTAAAGGGAGCAATACAACAAGAAGAAATAACCCTGGTAAACATATATGCACCCAATACAGAAGCACCAAAGTACATAAAACAACTGCTGGAGGAAATTAAGGGAGAGATTAATAGCAATACAATCATAGTAGGAGATTTGAATACCCCACTGTCACCTTTGGACAAATAATCTAAACAAAAAATCAGCAAAGAAATAGCAATCCTAAATGACTCACTAGACCAGATGGAATTAATTGACATCTTCAGAACATTCCACCCCAACGCCACAGAATATACAT